ACTGGCTTACACCTGGCGCGGAGAGGGCGAACAGCTAACGCGGCTGGCTTTCTTGTCCGATAGGAAAACAGAATCACCCTATTGCTCTGATAAACGGCCCCAGACGGAGAGGCCAGACTGTCAGGCAGTGGGCAGAGATCTCTTGGAGGTGTGTGAAGCCAGAGGCCATTACTGCGGGACTTGGGGAGGAGCCGAAGGGAAAACAAAGTTTGTCTGCACCAACCCGAGACTCCGCCCTACCTGTGGCTGAGCACAGAAGCTCTCCCAGAGGCTGGCTTTCTCTAAGGAGGGACTTGCAGAGGTGCGCACGCCTGCAACCAATCTTCCAAAACTCTCCACGAACAGGACTTTTCTAAGGCGAGACTGACAGGAAACCAAAGATTGTCTGCGCCACCCTGAGACCCTGCCCTATTCAAGCAGAATACGGAAACCCTCCTAGCTGAGACACTGCTGATCCTCACAGCCAATTGGCTTGGAGATCAACGCTTCCCAGTGATACCAACAATAAGCAAGGCTTAACAACAAGACTGCACACACAGCCCACAAAGGGCTACACCAAGACTGTCCACTGCAGGTAACTGGGAAGGCTGTGCTACTGGGCTCTACCAGAACACCCAGCACACAAAGCTATTCCATCAAATCAGGGAAACAACTAAAATGCAGACAAGAAGAAGGACACAAAGGAAGGAGATGGAGGAAAAGAAAAGATTGGACATTGAGTTCAAAACTACAGTTATAAGGTTATTCAACAATATCCTAAAAAAGGCCGATAAAATAAATGAGACCTATGAGGATATGAAAAGGGAGCAACTAGAAATAATAAGGGATCAATAAGAAATGAAGAAAACATTGTCTGAAATAAAAAATATACAAAGTCCTAAAAACAAACTGGAAGATCGCAAGAATCAAGACAAAGATTTAGAACACAAAGAGCCAGAGGACACTCCTCTGCAGAAGGGAGAAGATAAGAGAATCCAGAAAGTTGAAGATAGTGTAAGAAACCTCTGGGACAATTTCAAGCAAACCAACATCAGAATTATGGGGATTCCAGAAGAGAGAGAGCAAGATACCGAAAGAGTACTAGAAAAAATAGTGACAGAAAACTTCCCCCACCTGGGGAAAGAAATAGACTTACAAGTCCAGGAAGCCCGCAGAACCCCAAACAAAAGGAATCCAAGGAGGACCACACCAAGACATATCATAATTAAAATTCCAAGAGCAAAAGACAAAGAGGGAATATTAAAAGCAGCAAGAGAAAAGCAGGTAGTGACCTATAAAGGAGCACCCATAAGATTGTCAGCTGATTTCTCAACAGAAACCATGCAGGCCAGATGGGAATGGCAAGAAATATTCAAGGTGATAACAAGAACCTACAGCCAAAAATAATCTACCCAGCAAAGCTATCACTCAGAATCAAAGGACAGATAAAGAGCTTCACAAATAAAATAAAATAAAAATAAAAATAAATAAAAAAAAGCTAAAAGAGTTCACCACCACCAAACCAGAATTATATGAATTGCTGAAGGAGGTTATTTAGGAAGAGGAAGACGATAAAGATAAAAATTATGATCAACAAATACATAGTTATCAACAAGTGAATCTAAAAACCAAGGGAATTTAAAAATCTGATGAACAATATTAACTGGTGAATATAATAGATTCAGAGGTATGGAAGGGGAGTGGACTGACGATTCTCAGGGAAAAGGGGAGTGGGGGTGCGGGAAGAAACTGAACAAAAACTGTGCACCTATGGATGAGGACAATGGGGGATGGGGAAAGGACAGAGGGTGGGGTGGGAACCTGGTGAAGGGGAGCAATTGAGGGGGGGAAGAAGATCACATTTGTAATAATCTGAACAATCAACAATAATTTTTTAAAATAAAAAAAATAAAAAAACAAATTAACTGAAGAACTCAAGATGGAACCCACCTTGAGCCTTCTCAATACCAGGTATCTCCAATCCACACACGTTTAATAACTCAGCCAATACTAGGTTTAGACTAGCTGATCATCAGTGCTCACAATGAAAATTAATCATCTCTAAACTTGCTGGACAAGCGACATGATATATTCCAATTGCAACACTTGTGTGTCCATAGCTCTTTCCTGACAGTGCAGAGCAGCAAACAGTCCACCGAGAGCATGCAGCAGGGCCCACGCACTTCTCTGTGCGATGCTGCCACCTACAGACTTAGAACCGAGGAGGCCCACCCAACTAATCTCACCCAGGAATAAAGGAGAAAATCTTCAGCACTTGTCAGAGCAAAACGTACACACCAGGCTCCAAATAGTACAAGCCTTTACAGCTAATCAGTACAACTAAGGAGTCTGGAGCAAACAGCAACTTCCAGCTGGTGAGCTGCAAGAATTTTTAAAACATGCAATACCTGACTATTTTAGTCAAGGGCACTGACCTCTCTTCCCTTAGACCAGTGGTCAGCAAACTGCAGCTCGCGGGCCACATGCGGCTCTTTGGCACCTTGAATATGGCTCTTCCACAAAATACCATGGCCTGGGCGAGTCTATCTTGAAGAGGTGGCATTATATTGTAAGTTTTAAAAATTAGGCTCTCAAAAGAAATTTCAATCGTTGTACTGTTGATATTTGGCTCTGTTGACTAACCAGTTTGCTGACCACTGTCTCAGACTTTTAAATTTTAAAAATGACAACAGCCAACACAACAGCCATCTGGTACGAATGCCATCTTGAACTATAATAGGCCATATAACAGAATTGCATCCGATTGGCCAATTCTTGGTAGCAGAAATCTATAAAAGCATAATATGCTAATTAGATAGGACGTCCTTCTGGACAGAGCTGGGGCTGCAGCTGCAGGATGGAAGCAGCCACTAAGGCTGCATGGGAGCCTCTACTACTTAGGTCCGATGCACAGAATTCATGCAAGAGGCCTGCCTTTGCCCGGCTGCCCACAGGCACCCAGGACCAGGGCTGGCTTCCCTCCAGCTGCGGCTTCATTGGGAAGACATCCAATCTAATTAGCCTACCATCCTTTTATTATAGATAGGCAACTGGATTTTTTAGTCACTTTGAGCAAAAACAGTAGGCAATTACTAGTGTTGTTTTATAAACCTATCAAAAATCGTACCTTTTATCAGATTGGCAAAAAAACACACAAAACTATTCTTTGGTGTACCGAAGATTTTAATAGTTTGTATGCCATTAGATGAAAATTCACCGACCCTCTAGACTAGTGGGTGGTAGTTTCCAAACTGCAGTCTACACTTTGAATTCCTAATGCTAGAGTATTTTCTAGCAAATATCAAATTTTAGCCCTAATCTGCAATCTACCAGACTTTAAATAATGATTTACTTTCAGAAATATGTGGTCTTGCCCTAGCTGGTTTGGCTCAGTGGATAGTGCCTTGGTCCTGGGTTTGATTCAAGGGCATACACTCAACTTTCGGGCTCGATCCGCAGTAGAGGGTATGCAGGTTGATCAATGATTCTGATTTTTCTATCACCCTCTCCCTTCCTCTCTGAAATCAATTTTAAAAAGAAATAATGTGGTCTTTGAATTTTGCTCTTAAGTCGAGCATGTCAAACTCATGTCAAGCCCACAATGAATATTTTAGTGGCCCAGCCAATATAATGGTGAGAAACATTTTAATGTCATAACTTTTACAATATCCTGTTATAACGTTCACTAATGACTCTTTACTACAATCATGTTGCATTCATCTCCCTTAGGCTCAGGCACACCATTTCTCTCCACTAACAGTGAACACTTTAGCAGCTGATTGCCACATCATTAGTCTTGTACTAATTTGGTGTGCTCAACCAGAAAATATTTTGCTTCAGAGAAGAAAAATAGGTTTATTTGCATTATGCTCATTAATCTGTGCAGTTATTCAGCGCCTGGTAATGTTCAAGAAAAAAAATATCAAAATATTCTATTTTATATTAACTATTACTCACTTATTTCAGCCCTTTGTATTCAGCATGTCTCTACTGAAATAAACCTATGTTCTAATGAAAATTGAAGCTTTTTTTTGTGGCACACATAGACTTAAACCTTATTTGGCCTGTATTCATTAGCCTTTGAGTTTGACATGCTTAAGTGGTCTTGGATCTTTAGGAATGAGATTAAAACCTCGAGTTCTCCCTCCTAGGAGCACCCATTACCTCCTCACTCCCTTCTTTCCCTGTAACTTGTTTCCTAAACCCCGTTCTTCTACAGCTTATTTCACCTCTGGAATTTTCTAAACACACACTGTTCTAGTTTGGGGGAAGTGGGCACTTCATATAAACACTCAGCCCTGGCCCATTTGTCTGAGGTTAGAGCATTGTCCTACAGACCAGAGTCCCGGCTAGATTCCAGCCAAGGCTGCAAGCTCCTCCCTGGCCCAGGCCCTGGTCAGGGGTTATGCAGGGGGCAACCAATAAATGTTTCTCACATCAATGTTTCTGTCTTTCCTCACTCTCCCCCCCTAAAAACTTGGGTAATGACTAGAAAAACTCAAAGGAACCCTGGTGGGATAGCTTAGCTGGTTCAAGTTTTGTCCTGATACACACCAAGGTTTGCAGGTTCAGTCCCTGGACAGGGTACATACAAGAATCAACCAATGAACACAAAAATTAGTGGAATCAATCTGTTTTTCTCTCCTTTTCTCTAAAATCCATGTAAAATATCGAAAAGACGCCATCCATTTGCAAAGGACTGCTCCAGCCACCCTTTGCCTGTGGTGCCTCCTCAGCCATGCCTGAGGCCTGTGGACATGCAGCATGCAGTGAGGACACTTCTGCGCCTGCTTTGTGGAAGTGCTTAGAAAGTGCAAGGCAGTACACACACAGCCCATCCACAAGGGCCCCAGAGCCACGATTACCTTGTATTGGAGGGAAGTCTGAAGACATCTACACAACAGCCTCAACTGGTGAGCCTCTGTCACAGCCAGAGATATGGGCCACTGTCACCTACGCCCAGGCAGGAATAGAGCACCAAGAAATAGTCCACATGACACTGAAGCACAGACAAGACAATGTGCAGTTTTTAAAAGGAAAATTTATTTGACAAGTTCACTTAGCGCAATATACCTAAAAGGAAATCACAATACAATGAAAGATTTAAATCAAGGCCTCGGAATTTCATACAAACACCAAGACCAAAATCCTAAAGTATTGGTATTGCGTCTCAAATTTTCCCCATTAACTTAAAAAAAAAAGCTTCAACTTACATGCGTTGGGAGTTATTAAATGAAACTAGAATTAACAAACATGCCAAATGTTTCACTTTTAATTGTAGACACAGCTCCTATATTGAGTTTTACAAAAAAGCATGTTTTTCAACATGCTTCCACAAACAGTGTTCGATGTGATGTGGTCTAAGAGCAACATTTAACATAATTCAACTTCTTTAACCTAAATATACTTACTGCTTAAGTACATCCTACAATAGAACTAACTTGAGAAAAGCTAAAAATTGTTTAACATAGTTTACTCAACTTAGTTGTTACATCCTAGATGAATATTTGTGTTCAAAAATAATGAACCTTTAAGTCTTTAATTCAATCCTGATTTCCACTTAGAGTAAGCATAAATCACAAGCTGGTATTGCAAAACTGTTAAGTTTTGTGGGGGGTTTTCTTTTTCTTCTTTAAAATAACGTTGACCAAGAGTCAGCGGTAAGGATCAATTACATTCCCCATCCACCACTCATACTAGACATGCTAGACATCCCTCCCATTCCGTTCACGCCCACAGACGCACGGCTTCCACTACTGTAGTAGCTGCTGTTCACGGCTCCTTGGCTGCCTGCAAAGAGATCGATTTGACAAGTCAGGAGAAGTACCACATTACAGTCAGGTAAAATATCGCATTCCAGGAAAAGTTTTAAAAGAATACTGAGTACAAATGGCTGCTGTCCAAGTGGCGAGAAGCATGTTTGGGAAAAGGGACTCCCGACTCCAAACAAGTCTCGTTAACCCCTTTTCTCTGCAGTACCAAAATCTTGCCAGACTCTCGTGCTACCGTTTAAAAAGCAGGTGCTTCAGGATCAACGTGGAAAATTAAGTTTAAAGGAAAACTAGTGTTTTTCAAAAATTGCAAAATTACTTTGTTTCTAAAACTAAACAAGGCATTTTTAAAAATTTTACCATAAACAGTGTCCAGAATGGCGTGTATGAATAGGAAGCACAGGGGCAGTTTGCTTTTCCTATTCATGGCGGGCAGCAGTGAGACTGTGGGACTAAAGGCAACTCACTGTGCCCAAAATGGCAGCCTCCATGGAGCTAAACCAGAGCCATTGACTGCTATAGAAAAAGTATTAGCACAACATATCAGTATTTGCTATTGGGAATTTAAATTATATTCTTTGAGAAAATATTTACCTATGCAATGTTTGATTGAAAATCACTGGAGTTTTCCTGTAAAACTTGGTCTGCAAAAGGATTTTGTAGGGTAAGACTATAATACCAAAATCACCATTCTTTAGACCAATTGAAAAAAAATAAAACCAATCCTAGGTTAACTGACTAGTAAATACGGTCCTGAACCCAACCCACGTTTTACTATTTTCAATTCCCCCTCCATCTAAAATGAATTTAACATGCTAACCAAAAGACAGGAAAAGTGAACTATTTATTTAATACATGGAGGCAGATGTTTACAGACTACATTATTCCAAGTTGCACATTAATTTATAGAACACTCCCCCTTCCCACCCCATAATTGGTTCTGTAAATTAAACTATTAAAAACTTTTAACAGGACCAAAAAGCATACATTTAATAACCCAATTTCACCAAAAAAGGAGCCTGCATATTCCCCCAACTAAAGAATCCTACCTAAACCTACTGGACGGGTATTAAAAGACACACTTACCATATCCACTCATGCTGCTCTGGCCACCATAGCCACCTCCATAACCACCACTCAGCTGCTGGCTGGTTGGGCCACCATAACTGGACTGGTTTGCTGTGAAGTTAAAAGACCATTAGAACCTTGTTTGCTATGTAATGTGGCACCTGGTGGTACCGGGCTTGTAACTAAATCTATGATTTCGAGTCTTGATCTTACATTACTGTAACCCTTTGCCTATTTTCTATGAACAGACTACCTTTCTATCATTTGAGCTAGTCAAACATTTATAAAACCAACTAGTCAAAAACACCCATCAGCAGGACTAAACCCACATGATTCCTTAAGAGGCATTTTGAGAAAACCTTTTGAAACTGTGTAACCGAAATTAGTGGGGTTGATCCCCATAACTTGATAAATAGTAAGGCTATGTCATTACATAGCTATCACTGAACACCTAATTATACCCAACAAATTATGTCCAAAAATCTGTTATTTTGATCTTGTTTTTTGCCGTCACTCACTTTAGATTTATACTACATAGACAATTCCACTTGTTTCTGTAACGCCCCCCACAAAATATTTAAAAGTAATTATCTATTCTAAATAGTTTTATATAACTCAAGGATTTAAGTCAGACCCAAAATTCAAATAAAACTTTTTCCTTTGCCTAACTTAATATGCTAATAAACTCATGAAATATAAATTAACTTATATAATTGACTTATACAGATATAAATGTTTTGGTTTTTAAAAAAACTAACGATATTTACACAAGCCCATGCCTCCCATCATTTGGCTACCATAAGCACCACCGCTTGCTCCTGCTGTAGAATTCAAGAAGAGTTCTACATATCTGTGTTCTGAAATGAGAGAAAAGGCATACAAGGTTAGCTTTAAAAAAAAGACACTAAAGCGATATTTACACAAACCCATGCCTCCTAGCATTTGGCTACCGTAAGCACCACCGCTTGCTCCTGCTGTAGAATTCAAGAAGAGTTCTACATATCTGTGTTCTGAAATGAGAAGAAAAAAAATTGAAAATGTTTGTTGGTGAAAGAATACGAAGTTCTTAAAATTTAAACTTCAAATATATTCTGGTATAAAAAAATTCTAGCTGCTTCTCAGTTGAGATACTTTAATTATGCATCTTTCCAAAACTAGCCTTTTATCTTAAATTGTTCGCCTAAATTGTCTTAAGTTTATTGGATATACTTCCAAGTCAATGTTTGTACCACAAATCCTTTGTCACAATAATTTTTAAAACCCACAAAATTTTAACACATCCCCAAAGAGCTAACCTATCAGCGAACCCATTTCTTGTACATCCTTTCTGTTCTATTCCTCTAGCATGTTACACAACCACTTGTAAAGACTCCCCGAGACAGTTAAATCACACTTACGCATATTTGCTTTGTCTTTCGACATAGCTGCCACAGCATCTTCATGAGTTGCAAACTCGACATCTGCTTCACCAGTTACTCTGCCATCAGGCCCAATTTCAATGTGTACTCTCACAGGGTTGAGCGGTGAAAAAAACTAAATACAAGGTATTTCAGAGAATCAAGTCAACTTCCTGTTACAAAAAATGTGTAACATCCCGTTTCACTTAGGCAGCATTAAGACCCCAAGATTCTAATGCTCTACTGCAGTGTTTCCCAAACTTTTGACATATGTGTACCCCTTCTATAATTTTCGTAACACTGAGTACCCCTCCCACTCATGAGAACGTAGAATTAGGCACAGCTAAGCACAGTGCAGTGCATACCCCCACCAAACTCTTCCCGTACCCCTGGGGGTACGAGTACCACACTTTGGGAAACTGCTCCACTGCGATAGCTGGCTCAAGAATCACCTTACACTTACGTTATAAATGTCGTTCTCCGTAGCTCTGTAGGGTAATCCCCGCATGTGCACACAGTGTCCAGTTGTGCTCTGGAAAGTAGAGCCACCATCCCCATATCTGTGGTCAGACATTCCTGAAAAACAGTAATTGAGGTCTAGATGGACAGAGTGTAAGTAGCCTTTGGTTGAGAAATTCAATTCTTACCTTACCTCTTCCAAATCTATCCGACCCAAAGCCATAGCCATCATTATAGCCATTATAATCATCATAGCCGCCATAACCTAAAAGACAAAAAGTACAATCACTCAAATGAAAACACACAGGAACCACCCTCCTCACACGTGCATCTTCTCTCATACCTCCACCATAAGCTCCACGCCTCATCCTCTCAAAGCCAGCTCCCCTGCCAATGCTGTTATACCCTCTGCCGGCCCCAGGTCTGTCATAGGGACCTGGCCGCTGCATGGCCATAAGCTTTCGTGGTGGATCATAGTGAGTTCTGACTTCTGCTCGACTGCTCTTAAAAATTTCGATATACCTAAAGCATTGTTCATGAAGAAGGGAATGGGGAGGGGAGAGGAAAAATTAGTTCATGTCATACAGGTATTTAGTTACACAAGAAAACAATGTAGTCATCGCCATGAAACTAATATTTAAAGCCAGATTTCTTATACTTGCATCGGCAATGACCAGAAATTCACTCAATTTTAAGATTATTTCATGTAAACTTTATAGAAAACTCACTCCTCTAAAGCAGAGAAGCCCACCTTTAGGGGTGGAGAGGAGTACTATAAATAAATGTCTTAGGAGGGAAAAGATTCCACTCAACTTTCAACATTTCATCTTACATCCTTTGGCAGCACGTATAGCAAGTGGGCTAGAAAGCCAGCCTCCACCAACAGTCTAGCCCACACTACACATTTTCTCTCGCCAATAATACCCCAGCCTATGCTTTTAGTAGGAATCAGCATAGGTAAGCGCATGCTTCAATGAAAAATAGTCACAAGCGAAGAGAATAAAACCTTTTGTGACAATTTCTTGAAAGCTATGCTTATTAATACATATGCAGAATATTTATACAGCAAGAAAGTTTGTTGCATTTCAACTTTAAAAACAAGATCAGAAAGTATCACATTTTCTTATGGTAATATTAATTTACTATGTGGGTATGTTACAGCTAAAGTCAGGTTTGCATTACATTTTTTTATAAGCCATAGTCTCTCAACTCAATTGATTGGGGTTAAATAGATATATCTTACAAAATATAAAGAAGACCAAATTAACTGAGAAGTTCTCATTTTAAAATCTAAAATTTAATCTGAATGCATTATGGGACTTTGGCAAAGTGTAGAATTTGAAAACTGTGGCCAAACATCGATTAATTGGGACTAGGAAACAGGTCTATTACTCCTAAGTAGAGAGAATATGGGCTGACGTTTTACCATAAGAAAAGTGACCAGTCCACCAGCCATCCATCCCCACCTGTGCCCTATTCTTTCCTTGTGTTTCTTTAGAGCCTTTTCAGCTATTTCCTGTGAAGCAAACTGCACGAAGGCCTCCCCCGTACTCCTCCCCTGGAAGTCCACCGGCAATGTTATCCCATTTGGCACGATTTCCAACCCTTCAACCCAAGGACAAATAACCCCAGTAGGGGGGCAATATTAACATCACAAGCCCAGAAATGATTCTTCTTATAGCTTTACATAAACCAGAACGTTAACTTTAGGTGAACGGTATGCTTTCAACAAGTACTCTTTACATATGCATTGCAGTAATATGAAGTTCCATCATGGCTAAGTATGACAATTCTTAACACACCCATGGCACAAAGAAAAAAGGTGCTGAGCACAGGATGAATTAAGAATTCAACAAATTAAAAACACTCTTATCTACTCAATGTTGAAAATTACACAATTTAATAGGTTCAAACAAATACAACAGTTTTACTAAATTCAAGAAACACCTGTTACCTCATTTTTATAATTCAATGTTTTACGTTAGTGGAACTTCAAATTTTAAAAAATTTACACATTTAAACATTCTATATACAAATTGAAATATTGCTTAAGTATATCATTGACAAACATACAATCTAAACTTTCAGCAAACAAACAAACTGATCTAGACAGAACAATCATGCACTTTTATGTTCTAACAGTAGTATGATTCACTTCTGGAAATTCCGTCTATGAAAAATCCTTTCCGTGGATACATTCCCAAGCTTACAAAAAGGGCTTAAAGCACTTTCCTAGAAAATATGAAATTATGTTCATATTTAACGTTGACAGTTGACAGCATTAAATTCTCACCAATTTAGATAAAACAATAAAAACAAACTTGATCTCAAAAATTCTGGCAAAATATTAGGACTTGACACATATCTAACAGTCAGGATTTTAATTTATACTACCCTAAGTCATGAGAGGATTTCTTGTTCTTAATTCCAGTTTATGACATCATGAATATCAATTAATAGTATTTTAGATATAGGATCAAACATTCTACTAAACATGCAATTTTATCAGCTCTTCAGCAAAAAAAAACATTCAAATACTGTAGGCCCAGAACAACTTTAAAACATTCTCTATTTCAGATATCAAGACTACACATTCAATTATTCTTTGACTTTTAGCAAATTTAGAATTTCCTAGCTAAACCAGTTTTTCTGCATCAAGATAATTAGATCATTAGATATTTCTGGTCCCAAGACCCAACATCTCTTACAATATATAGACCTGACATAAATTACAACCACCTAACTCATACTCATCTAATGTTTAGGGATCTTACCTTTAACTTGAAGTACTCTGCTGAACAGCATTGTGAGGAAAGTAGTTAAGCTGTTGAGGACAATCCTCAAAGATCTACTCTGAACTACAATACTAAATACAGGGATGTTAGCATTTTCAAAATACAAAATTTCCACCATTAAGATGGGTCTAAATTATATGAAGGTCTCCAGGAAGAAAACATTAATTCATCTGCATATACTCACAACCTGTTTAAGTATCTAAGTTGCTAAACTTTAAGGTCTATTAAATCATGTTGCCAGGAGCTAGCCAAAACTCACTGCTCAGCAACAAACACGACTACATACCTGAGAAGAACTGAACAATTTCTTCCTTGCTACATCCAAAGGGGAGTCCTCTAAGCCGTACAAAGCCATCATTGGCCGTGTCAGGACTATTTGGACCAGTATGCTTCAACACCCAATCCATTTCAACGTTGTTTGACTTGAATACTGAAAGAGGTGCTTAGAATTAGTCAACTTTGGAAAGTTAGAGAACAAAGTTCAGACTTCCTAGGTCTTTAGATAATCTAGGAAGAGCTGCCACAATCCCTTAGGTGACCATTTCCATGCGGTCAAATACCTAAAATTCAGGAAGGATAAAATAGGCCTCTGTTTAATGCTTATTTACTGTTACTAGGGCAACATAAATCAAACCTTCAACATATCTGTGTCCCATAGTTTCTCTGTCTTTTTTCAGGGCCAATTTGACTTCATCTTCTGATTCAAGTTCAACAAAAGCCTCGCCACTTGGTCTGCCTTCTCTGGTGTAGATGAACCGTATACCTTGAGCCCCATTTTGAATTTTGCAGTCTGGAAAGAAAACAACCGTTAATACAGAATTTAACGTTTATTTAAAATCACCTCTGGGTGATATTGATGAAATGCCTATTGTGCCCCTCAACAAAGTAGATCGCATGCAAAGCCTAAAATGACCAAGATCCTGCCAACTCCTAAGAGTCTCTTCGAGGTAATTAAGCAGTTTTTCCCTCCAGCCACCAATACAAGCAAATACTCAGCCATAACCGGTGTGGCTCAGTGGATAGAGCGTTGGCCTGCGGACTGAAAGGTCCCAGGTTCGATTACAGTCAAGGGCATGTAACTTGGTTGTAGGCCCATCCCCAGTGGGGGGTGTGCAGGAGGCAGCTGGTTGATGTTTCTCTCTCGTGGACATTTCTAGCTCTCTATCCCTCTCATTTCCTCTCTGTGTAAAATCAATAAAATGTATATATAAATATATAAAAAATAAAAGCAAATATTCAAAGTTTCTTAACAAAAATCTCCAACTACTTACTCCCCAACTGTCTCCATCAACATCATTTGTAACTTCTTAGAAAGTTATTCTGAACCTTATTATTTTAATGCATTTCCTGAATATATTTGTCTCAACTTTTGCTCTGGGACCTTTGATCATTTTACCTTTCTAACAGTGGCATCACAATCCAAATTGCAGGGCCAATACTCACCTGAAAGGGGATCAATGTTACAAAGCTAAAATGCTCCAAGTTGAACAGCTGAAGCCAAAACCAGTCTTGCCCACTGCAAGGTGGCTTCCAGTGTACTTGGTTCTTGTATTACAGGTCGCTTTCTGTTACCAACACTGAATTCAGATAGTCAATACTACCAGTGTCCTTCCAAAACCTGTAGAACTTTTCCAAATTAATTTGTATCAGTCTACTCTTACACTAATGGGAACAAGGATATTTTGGTAGAAATTACACAGGAAACCTACATTACTTGAGAAAAAATTAGTAGGCAACTGAACTTGTCAGGGCTTAAGTGTCCTCAACTGTAAAATGAGCCAGATCAATAACTAGATAAACAAGAACTTAATTGCCAAATCTGGCATTAATTAAAAAATGACAATTTAAACTCTAGGAACTAATATGCCTCCTTTTTGCCGAAACCGGTTTGGCTCAATGGTAGAGCGTCGGTGTGCGGACTGAAAGGTCCCAGGTTCGATTCCTGTCAAGGGCATGTACCTTTGTTGCGGGCACATCCTCAGTAAGGGGTGTGCAAGAGGCAGCCGATCGATTATTCTCTCTCATCGATGTTTCTAACTCTCTATCCCTCTCTTCCTCTCTGTAAAAAAATCAATAAAATATAAAATAAATAAATAAATAAAAATAAAATGCCTCCTTTTTTGGACATGCCAAAATTGTAAAGCTGTTATATTTTGTTTTCAAAATATTACTATTTGCCCAGCTACTGGGCCATTTTCTTAGGGTTGAGAGGGAAATCCAATTTATCTTTTCGAAAGCATCACGGAAAGGAAGGTAAAGGGAAAAAAAATCCCGCCCTGGCCCGAGGGTTCAGTGGTAAGAAAGACGCCCACGCAAGGAAGGTTCATTCCTGAGTTGCAGGTTCCATCCACAGCGAAGTTGGGGGCGCGTACAGGAGGCAATCAATAAATGCTTTTCACAGACGTTTCTCTTCCTCTCTCCCTCCCATCAATCCACTCTCCAAATATCAATGGAGAAGTATCCTTGGGTGAGGATTACCAAAACAAAGGGGGGAAAATCCGCCAAAGCAGCCGCCGTTTTCCCACCCGGCCCAGGAGGGAGGGCGGGGCTTACGCTCTTTCCATTGCGTAACTGCGGACGCCCAGGCGCGAGCAGCCCGGCGGGAACGGCTGCACCGGCGCCCGCGCCCCGCCAGGGGGCGCCCCCAGCCGAGCCGAGCAGGGCCGGGCCCTCTCCGGCCTCCCCAGCCCGCCGCCCGCCCCCCGCCCCGCAGCCCTGCCTGCGAGCTCCTGCCTCCGCTTCAAACTCACCAGAAAAAAAGCGCTGCACTTCGTCCGCCGAACAAGACCAGGGCAAGCCGCGGACCTTCACCACGAAGCCCTCTCCGCCTTCAGTACCCAGCATCATCGTCTCTCAGTGGATCTTGGCGCCGAAGCGGACTGCAGAGAGGGGATGAGGGTCAGACCGGGAATTTGCTCAAATTAAACTGCCCTCCCCGCCAGGCAGCCGCGGGCCCACGGCCCTCAATAGAACCAAGTCCGTGCACAAGTCCCAACCCCGGCGACTCCAACACCAAACACCTCTTAAAGCCAGGGGGCGGGCCGCCCAAGCCGCCCTCGGCTCTAGTTACCCGAGGACCAAGCTGCAGGGGGCCAGGCCTGGCGCCAGCGTGGAGGCAAGGAAATGGCGGCCGCGCTTCCGCTCCGCCTCCTCCGACATATCACACAATAGAGTCGGCGCGGCCTGCAGGCCCTAGCGGCCCAGGCGGCAGCCCGCACCTTGAGAAGGTTCCCCCCATCCCGCCTCAGGCTCTACAGAAACCTGGGGCAAGCAATCCTCGCAAAATCGGCATCCTCAGGGGCCAGTGGGCGGCTCACATCGAGCAACAAACACTCACCTGATCACACGGCTTCTGCGTGGCTGAGCGAAATGGCCAGCGGGCGCCTGCGCAACCTAAATAAAGCCCTTTGAACAGGCTCTGCGCACGCGCAGCCAGGCTCGGCCCGCCCCCTGCGTCACACAGCGCTCCGACGCATGCGCACTGTCAAGAGCCGGCCCAATCGGTGGTTACGCCCTAGCGCCTGCGGCTCAGCCCCTCCCACCTGCACAAAGCCGACGGGCTGTTTTGCGCCTGCGCATTGTCGCGATTATTGTACAAGCTTCAGCGAGTTATTATTCAATTTCCTGCGCATGCGTCTTCCTTCAAACCGTTCTCCTAACCCGCCAGACGGGGAGGGAATGGCGGCAGTCTGTTCCCTGTGGGGATTGTCCCGCAGTCCCGGGCCTGCGTTGGCTTAGGTGGTCGTCTTCCTACTCCTGCCCCAGCCTGTTAACCGCACTGGCCTACCCGAAAGGAAGCCTCCTTCTCCCCAGAGCCGCCCGTGACCACCGGGGCCTCGGGGGCAGCGGAGCCGCGCACCCTCCAGCCCGAGGCCACCCCCGCGGCGCCGGGAGCCGGTCCCAGCAAATGCGCCTCCCCTTCCCCTCACCTGCCGCCGGCGGGCTGGAGCCCCGCCCGCGCGGGGTCCCCGTGCCTGTACCTCTGGCGCGTACCCCGCTTTTGTCCTAACGGACTCGCACCCTGCGACCCTCTGCCCCGCCCTAGGGTCGGCGGGCCCGGAACGCGCCGTGGGCCGCTCCACGAGGTGCGGCCGGGCGCTGCGCCCCGCGAGCGCGGGCTGAGCCCCGGTGCGCGCCCGGCCGTCTCCCGAGTGGACTCGGGCCTGAGGCCCCGAGGACGCAGACGGGGCTCGTCCGGTTGGAGGGCCTGGGGCCTGCGGGGCCCGGGGCACCCTGTGCGCCCGGCGCGGTGATGATCGTGGCTCCAGCGGCACCGCACGTCGCGGACCAGGCCCCAGTGTCCGGCCTCCCGGTCTGATCGGTGCCCTCGCCCACCTCGGGCTCGGACGACGCAGACAATGAACAGCCACAGACAGGGCTGGACACGGCACAGGTTACCGCGGCCAGCAAAGGGAGGCGCCGGCGAAGCCTGTTCCCACCGCGCCAGGGTCTGGTTTTGAGGATTGAGAAGACTGGAGAGGAATAAAGGAGAGGGGTTGGCAGGACCTGATCCTGAAGGCCATGTCACTCCGAGCACTGGGGAGGGACTGGCCGGTCTTGGGCAGGCAGCTAAGGGACTAGAGGAAATGAGAGCCATTTCTGCTGAAGTCGCCTGAGTGATCCAGAAAGCAGGTCTGTGTCTGGGTGATTCAAAAGCAAGCACCCTTTTTGTTTTAGGTACTCCCAGAACATCCCACACACGCATTTTGGTCCTGTTAAATGACCAAGAACACTGGTTCCTGATTAAATGAGGGAAAATCCTGATCCCCTTGGTAGTAGTACATTAAAAACAAAAATCATGTTATTACCTTTTAATAATATGGCCACACTTCTGGAGGTTTTTTCCTAATTTTTTTCTAACGTTTTCTGGGATTTTCTTGTAATAAGAGTAAATGTATAATAATCATAGAAAAATTAGATAATTTCCTCAGCTTAGATTTCTATAAGTAAAATTACTTGATGAAATTATCTGAACCCCACCAGTGGATGGCATTTCTTGCAGTGGCTGGGTTGCCAACCTTTCAGACTTCAGAGACCAGCAGTGGTCCGCAGACCACCGGTTGGTGACGCGGGGTTAGAGCATCCTCCAGCTACACCAAGGCTTTGGGTTGGATCCCCCATCCAGTCAAGGCACATACAAGAATCAGCCAATGAAATAATAAATCTGAAAAAAAATAAATCGATGTTTCTCTCAAAAAAAGAAATATTTGCTTTTCTTTATTTCCTAACTTCCTAAAATGCATGTGCATACTTGCATAATCATAAAAGGATCTGAGTATTTTTAGGGCTACTAAGAAAAAAAGGGTACAAACAATCTCTTTTGTGTGAAAGTTGCATGTTTTGTTGGAAATAAAAATTTCCTATAATCTTTGCTAATTTCATTCCAAGAGAAAAAAATATATTGAATTTGTATCTGTTTGATTACTAGTGAGGTACAATATACATCTATAGCCAATTCCCTCATATAAATTGTCAGTTTGACTTCTTTCTCCAGTGATCTTTTGGTCTTTACTGAGGCTATTCACCCATGGCCATAGCTGCCACAAACATTTTTCTATTTATTTTTTCATTGTTGATTTTTTAACTTTTTAAAAATATATATTTTATTGATTTTTTACAGAGAGGAAGGGAGAGGGATAGAGAGCTAGAAACATCGATCAGCTGCGTCCTGCACACCCCCTACCAGGAATGTGCCCACAACCAGTATACATGCCTTTGACCAGAATCGAACCTGAGACCTTTCAGTCTGCAGACCAATGCTCTATCCAGTGAGCAAAACCAGTCGGCTATTGTTGATTTTTTAGATATACTAAAAAAATTTTTTTTTTCAGAGAGGGAGAGAGAGAAAAACATCAATGTTGAGAGAGAAACTGATCACATCCCACACTGGGGATGAGCTCACAACCCCAGGCATGGGCCCTGACCCCCTGAGTGGCTCAACCCCTGAGCCATGCCAACTGGGCTACTCGTTTCTTTTTCATCAATTCTAAAACATTTTCTTCACAGTTTGACATCTCTAAAATAGAGATGTGTCTTAAAGACCAAAGGCAAGTCATAGTTTACTAGGCAGCATTTTTTTCTTAGTGGTACCAAAAATAATTGTGTATCTTAAAATTGACATCTTAGACTTGGAAACTGTCGTATTCTACTTTTTTCATTGTTTGTGATGATACATCACATCTATTAAATGTTTGTATAGATTCTTAGTAATGTGAGAAATGTATGTGATATAGTATGTGGGAATGTGGGAAAATGGAATGTGGGAAAACAGCAGGATACAAAATTAACAAGTGGTGTATTAAATATGTAAAACTATATTCATTTATGATCTATCTCTAGGACAGCGTTTTTCAACCGCTGTTCCGCGGCACACTGAGATGTTGCCTGGTGTGCCGTAGGTGCAGACAAGACAAGAATTTTATAATTTTTCACTATTTTGTTTACTTAATATTTCATAATAAAGTAATTATAAAATACTTTCTTTGTGTTTATTTGATTCCTATTCAAGAGAATTACTTTATATATAGTCAATATAGGCACAGAGTTAAATTTTTTAACATTTTCTGATGGTGGTGTGCCTCGTGATTTTTTTCATGAAACAAGTGTGCCTTTGCCCAAAAAAGGTTGAAAAACACTGCTCTAGGAATTTGCCTATTCTAGGTACCTGATATAAAGGGAATTAATTGTACAATATTTGAACTTTTGTGTGTGATTTATTTTATTTGACACAATGTTTTCAAAGTCTATCCATGTTATAACAGGTGTCAGAATTTCATCAATTTTACTTTATTTTTTATTATATATTTTAGAATTTAATTATATTTAAAGTTGAATAATATTTTATTGTTCACATATACCCCATTTTTTAATCACTATACATCTATTGATGGACATTTGGGTTGGTTCCACCTTTTAGCTATTGTGAATATGCTGCTATGACCTTTGGTACACAAGATCTGTTTGACTCCCTGCGTTCCATTATTCAGGTACATAACTAGGAGTGGAATTGCTTGTTCATATGGTAATTTTATGTTTAACTTTTTGAAGAACTGCCCAACTATTTTTCACAGAAGTTGAATGATCCTACATTCCCATCAGTAATGCACAAAGCTTCCAGTTTCTTACCCTGACTGGGTATCTTGGTTGTGGGTTCAATCCCAGGTCAGAGCACATACAATAGGGGTGTCGAACTCAATCAGAGAAGGGGCCAAAATCTAAAATCCAGCCTAAATCGCGGGCCGAATGGTTTACTGAACAGTCATAAACTGTCATTGTGATGGAAACGCAGTGGAGTGCAGTGATGACAGCGCAGTGCGGGCCACATTGCAAGGCCTGGTGGGACGGATTTGGCCCGCGGGCCTTGTGTTTCACACATGTGACATACAAGAATCAACCAATGAATGAATGCATAAATAACTGGAATAACAAATCAGTATTTCTCTTTTTCTCCATCCCTCTCTCTCTAAAATCAATCAATCAATAAATAAAAACATTGTGGCACCAACACAGAAAGAGAGCACTGAATGGGACATAATCTAGAAACAGGTCCAAGATGTATTTGGGAATCCAACATACAATAAGGTGACATTTCATATCAGAAAATTATTCCCATAATTTTCAATATGTGGTATTAAAACCAATGACTAGCAAGTTGGGGGAAAACAGCATTAGAGCTCTATCTCACACCATACATCAAAATAAATACATTAAAATAAGAAACAAACTGCCTAAACCGGTTTGGTTCAGTGGATAGAGTGTCAGCCTGCAGACTCAAGAGTCCCAGGTTTGATTCAGATCTAAGGGCATGTACCTTGGTTGTGGGCACATCCTAGTGAAGGGTGTGCAGGAGGCAGCTGATTGATGTTCCTCTCTCATCAATGTTTCTAACTTTCTATCCCTCTCCCTCTCTCTAAAAAATCAATAAAATATATATTTTTTAAAAAGAAACAAACTAAATAGATTAAGTCTACTTAGAGTTTAAAATTATGCAAAGCTAAAATAAAATGTTATGTGTGTATTTATAAACTTTCAGGTGAAGGCTTTTCTAAGCATGAAGTCAAAGACATAACCACAGCGGGAAAGACTGGTACATTTGACTATATAAAAATAATTATTTTTAAAATTTTGAAATTTTAAAAATTTCACCCAACTTTCCAGCCCACCCATGCTATTTCCAGTGACTTTTTCATATGAATGGCCTGTCTTATGCTTCAAACCTTCAGCTTTTTCTAAAATCTCTCAAACAAGAAGCATCTGGCCTCAGCATGCTTCAAACCTCAGGCCCTGTCCTAGCAGCAGCAGGCCTTGCTTCACAGCTTGGCCTGTCCTGGGCACTTCCCAAGCCCAACACAAGTAGCAGCCATCTGCAAATTGCTTTGTAGCTCATGCCAGGTGGCCCAGGATGACTTTGACCTCCCAGGAGGCCCCAGAGCCAGTGTACTCAGTGGACAGCTTCAGACCACACCG